AAAGCAGCTTAGATCCCTCCAGCAGATTTCAAAGTATCTTACTCTATATCCAGCTGCACAATATCAAGCTATACTTTTTATGGTGACATTTTGCTGACAATCCAAACCTCAAGGGCAAAGCTCAAACAGAAACTCTCTAAGAAAGAAAAAACACAAACCAGACATGTAGACATTATCTTCAATAATGCTAGACGGGCAATGAGGGACCAAAGTGGGAGTTTGTGAAAATGAGCTGCAAATGGTATAAAAAGACGGTAGTAAAACACTAAAAGTTGATGTCCCACTAAGGCTAGGATTCTCAAGAGTTTTCCAAAGCCTATGAGGATGCAGCCCTGATTTTAGGAAAAGAGAACTGAATGCAAAGTGATGGTGCTTTGTGAGAGAGGTGTAAATCTTTTTAGGAGGACATCTGGGGCACTCTGCACCTGGACTACAGTCTCACAGTGGTTCAGCACCAATCTGTGACTTCAATCTAAAGAACTTGGACTCCTTAACGACTGTGCAATGCATAAAAGTGCCTTCTACTCTGTCCTTCCTGCTCCTTACTGTGAACTCACCCAAACCCAGAAACTTCACCACAAGATCATTGCAGAAGACAGGTAAGTACAGTAAAAAGAAGGAACAGTGCTTGATTTGAAAATATATTCAGATATTTCAGCACGTATCTTAAAAAAAAAAAAAGGGGGGTGGGGAAAGGAGAAAGGGATGCTGTATGCATCCAAGGCATGGGAAAAATATAATTAACAGAGTTTTTTTTAAATAATCTCATGAAGGATATTCTTATATTTTCTGCATATTAGCTGTTACAGACTATGGTTCAGGTGATTTTTCTGTATGGTTCAGGTAAATTGTTATATTATATTTTGCTATTGTGGAGAATCTCTTTCCCATAATAGAAAAAGTAGAATATATTTACAAATTATAAGTATGTACTTTTTCTCAGATGCCATGAATGTCTACTTCCAGAAAGTTTCAGTGGGCTGCCTATTACCTCACTACTTGAGTTTAAAGAATCTTACTTGAGTAGATAAAGTACAATCAAATCAAAGCAAACATGCTAGGATACCACTAAAATCACAAGAGTACAAGATAACATGGAGAGCTGTATGATACAGCTAGTCCAGTCTGACTCTACTCTGGAAAAAGATTGCTACCAATTTTTTTCCTCAAAGAAAGGCAGAAGTGGAAAAAAACACAAGAGTACAAGATAACATGGAGATATTTTGGAGATCTCAACATATTATTAGAATTGAAGGATTGAGATTTTTGTTGTGGGGTTTTTTTTTTTTTTTTTTTTTTTTTTGTTTTGTTCTGTTGTTTTGGGTTTGGTATTTTTTTGCTTTTTTTGGGTTTTGTTTTGATGGGGTTTTTTTTGTTTTGTTTTGTTTTTTGGGGGTTTTTTGGTTTTGTTTTTTTTTTTTGTTGGATTAGAAAGAAGCTGTATGATACAGCTAGTCCAGTCTGACTCTACTCTGGAAAAAGATTGCTACCAATTTTTTTCCTCAAAGAAAGGCAGAAGTGGAAAAAATCTAACTTGTTTAACTGTGCAAAATGTGTGTGCTTGCTACTAAAATCTGCTCAGCCAAAGTCATACAAATTAGTCTCGGGAGGCAGGAAAGGCCATAAAAAGAAAACAACTTGACTTGCTTTGCAATAGCAATAAGTCTAACAGCTTGTAGGGCTGTTCAGAAGGCAATGAGCTATGGCCCGCTCAATGAGGCCTCATTCTTAGAAACACAGGCTGCATCCAAAGCAACGTGTGCTGAAGCAGTGCGATACCTGCATTTTTTTACACTTTTTGGGATCCCAATAAGAGCTTGTTCATAGATGAGACAAATGAGCTAACATTTTTTTCATTCCATATAATTGTTTGATTGGTATTTAATGAGGCTATGTTTGTCAGTATCAGCTCCTGGTAAAACAGCACTGAAGAACACTGGTTTTCTAAACTTTGACATGGGAAATTTGCAAATAAATCTTGGTCTAGTCTTGATTTAATTCCTGCAAAACTTATATCTGGTAGAAAATCTAGAGAGGAGTTACAGAGGTGTTTTATGTAAGCCTAAATTTCAGCTTATGGTGAGACAAGAAGATTATTCTAAAAAAAACCAGAATAAAACACTTGAACTTAGAGAGGATGTTATAACTTGTATTTTCTACATATGGCCTTACTTAACAATATCAGTGGAAGCTCCTTCTACAGAGGAAGAGGCAATGTAAAACATGAACTGGCAGTTTGGGTAGAGGGTCAGGGTGCCATCAGTGGTGACTAATCAATGATTCCTCTGATGCGAATCAAGCCAACTGCATTTCTCATTGTCCGTCCTGTGCTGATTAACATCAAGGTAGAGAACAGCTGAGATTGAGAAGACATGAACATTTTCCAACAGACCAACCTCTATTCCTCGCAAATAGCTATTCCACAAATGAGAGGAAAGCACCCACTAGAGCTGCTACCTAGAGCTACTCTTTTCGGTCAAATAATCGGTGATTTGTTTTTAATAATAACAGTCTCAAATATGAGCCCAGAATAGCCAAAAGTGACCAAAGCAAGCATGGCTGTGAAATACTGTGTGAATGCTACTCACAATCGTGACATTTCAGTTCAGAATTCAGCCACCTTTGATTACTGTGGAGTGTTGACTGGCAAGCTGCACCCCTGGCACACAACTTTCAGAGCACAGACCTACTTGTCTTCCTTCATTTCTTCAGAAAGGCTTGATATTAGGAACAGGTGGAATGAGTTTTTTAATACAATAGTGACTTTCTGCCACCACATTGGAATCACATACCACAGAAGATTACATCTAACGTCTGACTGCCAAGATAAATGTGTATCTATAACAATGACTAATCTTCATTTTTGCAAGTGACATCTGTTTATTCAAGGCAGCCCACTAATCTCACCACCTTTAGAGAAATCAGGAAGCTCTTGACTTTCCATTACTTTTAGACTAGAAAAGGCACCTGAGATTAACAATTGTGAACAGTTGGCTCTGTCTGCACTTCTTCTCCTTGTAGTTTGTATCTCAAAGCATAGGGCTGTGCTTGCCAAGAGCCGAACATCAGCAAGACAGAGCCCTCTGGGACTTGTCCTGGGTAGCCGTAAGTGTTCTGCCAACTAAGAAATTGGCCCCTCTGTGGCTAAAATTAGACTGAAAATTCTTCAGGGAAAAGGGGGCTTTGCTTTCAAGTGAAGCCTGGCACAGGCTTCTCTGTCACTGCAGAACAACGATGACAGGTGGATTAGGTAGCAGGCTGGAGAGAGATGTCATCACCAATCACCTGACTGCCTATGAGGGAAACAATGAATAACACTGGACAGTTAAGGTTTCAAATAATTGAAAGTCTCTACAATGTAATGAACAGACATCTGGCAATGGTATCCCATCCCAATTAGCACATCATTTTGAATAGCTGGAGTTCAGCTAACTGAAGTTTGATTATAAGTGCATTATGAAGATTTTCCAGTATACAGCTTCTTTAAGTTTGGAAGTCTAAGATTCCTTATAGCAAATCCACTGCTGTAGAACACAGGGGAAAACAAACAAACAAACCCAACAAAAACAAAATCCCCCAATGTAACAAGTGAATCCAACCAACATACTAAATACTTTAAAGCACCAATCATCTTGCCAAGGCTGACTGGTCCAGGAGGTGAGATGTCTCTAAGACAGCTACCAATAGATCCTCTCCCACCAGAGCTGAGATGGCCAGTAAAAATGTAAAGCAGACATTAATCACAGCAGCCTGCACCTTCCCTTCACCTGCAAGCTCTGTGTACCAGCAGGAGAAAGGAATGGAGAAAGCACTGAAGACAATGGAGCCTAGACTGCTCCTGTGCTCTATTGCTAGCTCGAAACCACTGTAATTAATTGATTTCTATTAACTTCCCTGTGTGAAGTTTAAAAAAACCCCAACCAACCAACAAAAAAACCCTGAAGGCAAAACACCCTGATTGGACTAATTTTCTTTAATTACATGGTAAGAAAGGTCACTGTCCCCACTCGGAGACAAAAAAGCAGCAAACACATCCTCCAGAAGGACCATAAGCAGGAGTTAAATCTGACAGGTTCAGTATTGAAGTCTAAACCTCCTCTTCTACCTTCTGTTATGCAGACTTATGCTTAAAGACTGATGCTACCATAGCATGACTTGCACAAACCCACCACACCTTCTTCCTCCTAATAAATATTTTATTGGGGTAATCTTCATTTCTGACCGTGTGCTTCTTAGAGTAGCAAAACTCTTCCAATACCACATTACTGCAGAAATTCCTTGCTTAGAAGTTTCCCAGCAATGACACAACTTATCCATTCACTTGGCCATTATTCTGCCAGTGAAAAATTATTAGTGTTAAAGATCAGCCTCTGATTTATCATCCCTTTACTGTTTTGTTCAGAAATTTGAAGACCTTGAAGAGAGAAGTGTTACATGGAAAGTGATACAAGCAGGTGCTCCTCACTTTCCAGTGCACTGTGGAACATTTCCTACAAACTCTGGAAGACCTTGAACTACCAAGTTTTAAGACATCACTGTTGTTGGGTACTCTACAGATACTTGAAGACATTCTGAAAGACTTTAGCAATACCTTTTCTATTTTAAGCAACCTACAAAAGTTTTTAAAAATTCCTTAATGCATTTACATGGTAGTTGTTCTTTCAGCTCAAAGAGAAAACAAACAAACAAACCAACCCAATCCCCCTCACAAGCCTCAAACAAACAAGAAAATAAAAAAAAAAAACCCATCCCAAACAGGTAAACTATTCAAACTGGGACAGTGTACTATTTTAAGATGTTAAGATCCTCTTCAGAAATCACAAGTGCATACATTACTTATCAGAAAATTGTGCCATATCCATGCCAATAAAAATCCTTCCATCACTTATTCATGTTCTTGAGTAAATAGCAGATAAACACATAGCTCTAATCAAGATGCAGTTATGAACATGCACACAGAATTTATTGGTGAGCTACTCCAGTGATGACAACAGTAGTACCTTCTTTTTGCTGCAGTAAATCTGCCATTTCTTCTCTGGAGGGAGTGCAAACATAGCCTCTCTGTTCTTGTCTGTGAGATCCAATTCATCCTGGAGATTGAGAAAAAGAAAAACAGAAAAAAACAGTCATCAGCTGCATTGGTAAGTTCTAGTAAGTTGAGAGGTTACTGGATCAGGCATGTTTGACTAGCCTTCAATCAAGAGGACTTAGTGGCTCCCAAACACTCCAAAAATTATTGGTTTTGGATTATTTCCTTGCTACCTTGAATTCTCCCTGTCAGAGGACAACCTATGAAAAGAGCAGCCTGAACAACTCCCATGTCAAACTTCCATTACTAATGATCAGTGAAGGATGGGAAGGACCACATGAAAGGGATGGAGTGAAAAACTCTAAGCACTGGATTATGTGACACAGACACTCCTTACAACACTTAGAGAAAGGCTGAAAGTTTGATACATCTTTTTTTCCTGGCTGGCAATACCAAATTGCTCTTCTGTAGAAAGAAAATAGTTCAATTTCTCTATCTTCCAAGCAAAGGCCATGAGACAGATGTCATGTCATCACCAACCTACAGGCTGAAATGTTTTTCCAGATGTTTGTTCTCTAAACCACACAGTCCCCGTCAAAGACACCCAGCATTTCAGACATAAAGGACATAATTCCACAGTGCCACATTAGATTGATCAGAGCAGCGTATTCAGCCTCTGTTAAGAAAAGTGAGCTCAGTAGAACATACCCTCTTAGAGCTCAGCCAAGCTTACAATAGTGAAATGAAGGATAACACTGTGATCTGGAACTGAGCACCAAATTCCACAGTTTCAGTTCCTCCTCTGTAAAAGGTGAATAACAACAGACTCTTTTCCAATGCCCGTCTCTAAAACTATCAAATGAGAGATTGCTACTTCCTCTCTGTTAACACAGTACTGACCAGAACAGGGCTCCAATCAAAGCTGCCAGTTTTAGGTGCTAATAAAGAGAATTAAACAAAAAAGAATGGTCTTCAGGGCAAGCAGACTGTATGAGCAGGCACAGATGAAGATGTCTAAATTAAGAATTTCAGTAATATAAAGAAAAAATCTTCCAGCAATGTTTCAATGAATCAGTTTTGGCAGGGGTTTGAGATTTTTCCCTATGTGTTTGAAATATTTGGAGAAGGAAGTGTCCAGGGGTCCTATATCAAGATGACATTGTGCCACTAAAATGTTGCACACACAGATTCTGGCACCCACACTAACCTCGTCCAAGCAGAGACAATACCGCTTTAACTCAGCCAAACAATGGCTCATTTGGAAAGTGTTCAGGGCTGGGAAACTTGTGAAAACAGTGAGCAAAATTGCACACTGAGCCTGGTAGCGGCTGCTGACAGATTTAAAAGCCCGTAGAGATTTAAGCTGCAAAAAGGTACAAAATAAATGCAAACAGTAACAAGGTGAGGTCAGTGCCAGCAGCCCAAGGTAGAAGAAGCTGGAGGGTTATTTTAAACAAGAAAAAGTTTAAAGGGAAAAAAAAAATAGCTGTGCAAAAAGAGTGCAAACCATGTGGAAATGTTTAGTGTGAGTTTCCAAATAAGGGGGCAGCCAAGCAAGGCAAGGAGTTTTATCCTCGCTATACACAATTAAAAAACTCAGGCCAGGATCACATTCTTGGGGGGAGAGGGAGAGTGAAACTACATGTAAGGCCTTAAGACAAGAAAAGAATGCTGTTAGAGGTCAAGCATGTGGAAGGGAAAGGAGGGGCAGATAGGGAATCAGAAATGCCAAGTTTGGAAGAACCACCATAGAAGCCAGAATACACATGAGCTGTCTGGGCTCAGCTGAATTGTTAGAAAAAAATGTGATTGTTTTATTGACCTGCTTAATGAATCTCTTACTTTTTTTTTTTTTTTTAAATACAGTGCAGCTAACTTACTTGCTTTTTTAATCCTTAGTTCTTTTTCTGGAGTCTGCTGGGAGATCAGACAAGCAGCAGAAGTTCTGCACAGAAGCTGTGCACTGAACTAAATGAAGATCTCAAACAATACAGTTCAAGACAACCATTTCATCAAAAGAATGTACCTATTGAGTAAAACCACCCTGAAGACAGGATTCTGACACTGCAGCTTCTAGACACTACTCTGGATACCGGCAGTATTCAGGGACATAAAGATAAATCTCCTTTCAATGGGACATTAAGAATATGCAGCTTCCAGTTACATAATTCTGCATCATGGCATGCTTTTCGGGACAGAAGCCTAGAAAGTTAGTTTGAAAAGGTGGAAGATCCAGAGGGAAAATAGTGCATCCTGCATTATTGTGACTCAGGATGATAGAGGAAGTCGAAAGAACTTCAGAAGTCATCACATTTAGCTCAGGTAGCATAGTAACAAGGAAACTGTTCAGGGTTTCTAGGCATAAGGGGATCACCAGAGGTAGACCCAAACACACCTGCCTGGAAAACAGCGCATGAAAAATGCCTTACCCTTAATTTTGAAAGTTTGTGTGTCTCTTGGTTAGGAGGTAAAATGCTGGGTTCTAACACCCAGGACAGATGGGCAGGGAGCAAGCACAAATATTCAGCAGAGAAAGAAATATCTCCAGAACACAAAACAGCAGTCAAGCTCCTCAACTCCATTTCCCGTAGTGTTCAGCAAGGTGTGCTCCTACACTGAGAAGAAGAAAGGAGTGGGAAGAACTGAAGAGGTTTGCATGTCCTCCTCTACCTACACCATCAATCAAAACCTACCCTATTAAAAAAAACAGGAAACCCCTGCAAAATACAAGAGACATGAGACCTTCTGGAACTCTCCAAATCATTTTACCTCTGCCATTCTATAAAAAATGAACAGAAGAACACTGTGACTTCAGAGGAAAACCATGGATCTAGCTAAGAAAGAAGACCCTGAATTAGGCAGGTTATTTTTCTGTTCTGACTCAGGATCCTAAGAAATGGCACATAAGGAAACCTGCTGCCTTGGCGGGAAGCAGGAGAAACAACAGAAAGAATAAATTTCAGGAGGGTAATTTGGTTAGTGAACAGGTCATTCTGACCCACTGACAGAAGGAGATCTGTCAGCATATAGAAATTCAGACTGTAGAATTAGCACAGTGATAGCAAGTGGCTATTGAAAAGAGAAAGGAATTGCCAAATTCGGCAGGAAAGGGGAAGAACAACAAACTGAATGCAGCCATCAAGACTGGGGTTGGAGCCAGACTAAGGAAGCCAATGTGACTGAATGCTCAGGGAGCAATTCTAAAGGGCAAGGAAAAAAGGGTCGGCCAGAACAAAGCAGGGAAATTCCCTTCTCCAGCACCTGTCCAAGTTTCCCAACAGAAACATAGTAAGTCCCCTTCTACACCTTTGATGGGCAGCTTGGTTCCAGCAATTCATGCCAGCATGACCCTGCTCAACAGAACTCAGCCTCCTGGCTCTTGAAAATGCTTGAAGTTGCATGAAACAGAGATTAAAAGGGTATTTGCCAGGCTGGACTGAGGACGATGCAAAGCATGCCCAGTTAACAGTATGTACATTTCTCTCCTTTATTTCCTATTTTGTTTTATCCAGTGGTAGTTAATTCAGCTAATTTTCACTTTCTTGTGGGCATTTTATTTACTTACGCAGATTGAATTTCAATGATAAAATGTTTAAAAAAGAACTGGAACTGGATTTGAGGTTCAAATACTTCCAGTCGAGTTCTCAGGCCAAAAGAGAAGATGGCCTCCATTCAAAATGGCTATAACCCAAGGAAATAAGAGACAGAAAGAAAGAAAAAGAACAAGAAGGAAGAATGGGTAGGAAACATAAATCCAGTATTTTGCAGGATTTAAAATGACATTATGTCCCTTGTTTTTGGGAACATTCATCAGAGCTTGAAAGCTGGATTTGATGCTGGGCAGCCACAAGCTCAGTAATGATACTCAAAGCTCTAAAGAAGCATTTCTCACCTAGACTGGTCAGTTCTTTGTTTAGTGTCACAAAATGAAATTAATAAAGAGAAAAAGTAAGATTTTGGTAATGTAGTAGAGTGGTTCACTTGGAGAGAGACCCACTAAAGGAGAACCCTTAACACCTACCAACATGCCTGCCTCTCTAAAGGAGAAACCTCTAGGCCATAAGTACACAGAGGACCACAGCTTCTGGTCTCCAGCATCCCCTGATTTGAAGTCAGAATCATGGAGGCCAAGAGCCCCAAACTTGGTTCTCCAGGGATATTCAGGCACTCAGGGGAGGAGATATCCTCAGTTTCAGTTTCTCGTTCTACTCGTCCCAGGTCCATTGGCTGCTGGACTTACTGGTCATGGGGAGTTTCACACTGACTTAAGGTCAGAAAGCTGCTTTGTTTTGCAACATACAAAAATCAACAAACCAAAACAACCAACCAACCTTTAGAGGCTGGCAGGTTGTTTTGTTGTTGTTGATGTTTTGTTTTAGCCTCATAAATGTTTAATGAGTCATGCATAGCATTTCCAGCATTATGAAACCCAGAATCCTCATACGATATGCCTACTGCAGGCAATAACTTGATTAATATGAGCATAACAAATATTTTGCCAGAAGGAAGAGGACACTTTGCTTATTTTCTTATGTTCTTATGTTCAGTTGGATAACTGTCTTATTTCATCAATTTCTTATAATTTCAGCTACAGAGAGTTGCATTACACTTTTAATTTTTTTACCTGTAGGTCAGTTTCTCTTACTTACAGGGCTCTTGGGAGAATATCCTGTCTATAAGCATCATTCCCAGACCTGTGTTTCACATTTAATTGCTATTTTTATGACTGAGAGATGTCAATGATCTATAAAAGCATATTCTCATTTTTTAAACTTTATTTCTACCTACAAACATATTCAGTCAACTATTAAAGCATTATTTAAAAATTATATGCTTTTATGATCCTCAAATGCAATAGCTTTGACATGAAATCAATCTTTATTTTATACCACAGAACCCAACACTAAGAAATAACACATAGGCAAATAGGCTTCAACACTTCCACTGTTCAGGGCTGCCTATTTTGACTGTCTGATGACAGCTCTACTGCATTGATTGGTTCTTTAACAGCTGATGTGTACTCAAGCAAAAGAACAGCCAGGTCTTGACATTAACAGGCTC